AAGTGTTATCATTGGGAAGGGTTGACTCAAGTCTCATTTTACTCCGATTAACCACAAGGTGATAGTGATGCTAAATCATGTTGCTTTTGAAACATGCATTAACTCTTTTTAAAAATTAGCCCCGATTTACATTTACCAGTTGTCTACCAAACTTGAAAAGCTATCAACAACTGCCATTTCATTATCAAGCCAAGGATCTCCAAGTCAGGCTTCTTTTTCAGAAGCTGGATACGGTGTTCAGTCATAAACTGAGTCCTTCTGTTAGAGATCACGGACTCCTGTTCATTCTGATTCAGGAATAATTTGATTTACTAGAGCTGCCACCTACAAAATCAGATCATTGGTTCATACTGCCCAGTGCTGTCTACTCTCAACTGGCAGTGGCTCTCCAAGACTGGGGGTTTTCCAAGCCATATTATACAATATGATTACCTGGGATTTCAAAGGTAGAAATAACGTCTGGGGTGAATTTCCAAAATGTGGCACTTTGTCCTGGATCTTAGGCAAATCAATCAAAAAATCGCAGGGTTTTGGGCATTTTTGTACAACAATTTTCTTTAAAAAAAAGTTCAACAATTTTGGGATCTTCCAAAAAAAGGGTGCCCTGGTTTATACTTTTTGAAATATGGCAACCCTAGATTTACTGGATTAAATTTAAAAACACAGTGGGTTTCTGGATTGTCTAATCTGTTCTCCTAGGTTTCGGAAACTTCTGAGCAGGCTTACAGTGGCTTTACAAATATAAGGATATAACACTAAATGTAGTAATTTGTCCTCCAAATTCCATGGGAAGTGCCACAGCTCCTGAATCTGCTATCAACTTCTGATAATTCCCCATAATCCAAAAGAAAGTAGACTGTGTGCAGCATCAAATGGTCTTCATCTAATCAACCAGACATATACAAAGGTGACTATAGAGAGCTTTTCAGTGCCTCTTTTAAAGATTAGCAGACAAGAAAATTACAGACCTTGTAGATCAGGTATTTTGGTCCAGCGCTACAAATCCTCTTCTTCATTCACAACCGAAACAAGCATGCCAAGCACACTCTACATGCTTTCTCTCAAAGCATGCTGGGTTTTGAACAACTCACTTCAAAATAGCAAAAAAAGAAAAAGAAAAAAAAGATAGGTAGTCAACCTGGTGCCCTCAGATGTTGTTATACTACAACTCCCATGATCCCCAGACAGTGTGGCCAATGGTCAAGGATTATGGGAAATGAAGTCCAACAACATCTCTGGAGGACACCATGTTGCCTATCCCTGGGCTACACAGATAGGACAAGTCACACACCCACACATGCAATACTGATATATTTCACGTTAAAGCAATAATGTAAAGTGATGGTGAAATCTTCCATATATATGCACACAAGCTTCCCAGGCAAGATAGGAACATGGAAAGCACATACGTACAAGTATTTGAATGATGTGTAGTTTTCTTTTCATACATGCCTGATTAACACAATACAAAATTTAACACTACTGTCTTTCCCAAACAAAATTTTATTACACTTAGACCTTGTCCTGACAAGAGAATGATAGGTGTTTCTTTGTTAGTAACCTTTCAAAAATTAAACCGAAAGTCAGATAAGTATCAATCTTTAAATAAGTTACTCTTAGCTTCAGATCTGACACACAGTACAATCCCACTGGAACTTTTCCACACAGGTCCAACATTGCCCAACATTGAAGTTATGCCCATGACTATTAGGTATTCTGTTCAGGAAACCCTACATTAGGGAAACAATCATAGCTAAATTTCTAAGAATGCTTGGCGGGGGGCTGTAAAGTTATTGTATTTATATTCCATAGGGATTTCTTTCCCTAGCTCTGTATGACCATAGGATACATACTGTTTGTGTCATATAAAGGCTTAATAGTCGGTGAAAATATAATGAAGATATAATGCCTACATTCCAGCATATCTGGAATCTCAAAATTCTGAAATGTCAAAGCATGCACATCAGTTGCCCTCAAGACAAAAATGACCAAGACTATCAGGAAGTCGAACTTTTTAAAGATCCAGAACTGATCAGGATTTCTGCAGCTAATATTACAAGCTTCTATTAAATAATTCTGTCAAACACTCTTTTTAAATCATGTTTCATGTGCCTCTGAAACCAAGATGCGTTTATAATGAATACATTTCCACACCTGTCTGCATGCATCTCAGAAATGTTATTTGCAGTGCCATAAACGTCAGAGAGAACCTCTGTTATAAATCCTTATTTCTTGTTTATGGCTTTGTCCGTTAAAAAAGTCACTCTCATCTGAAACTCTGCATGCAAGCATCTCAGTCAGAAATCAAATTTCTTTTATAACAAGTTTCCAAAGTGCCCATAAAACTTCAGCCACAACCGTCAAAATTGGGTAACGCAGCTTGTGCTGCATTTGGCAGCATTATCACATGCTGTTGAAAGGGATTAAACTACAAGCCTAGTTGAATTGGGGGGGGGAGGTATCCAATGGTCTTTCTGACCATCTGTGTATACAAGAAGCTGCCACCTACAAAATCAGATCATTGGTTCATGCAGCCCAGTACTGTCTACTCTCAACTGGCAGTGGCTCTCCAAGACTGGGGATTTTCCAATCCATATTATACAGTATAATTTCCAATGCAGTCCCCAGAGACTGAACTTGGGACTTTCTTCTTGAGAAGTATGCACTCTGTGACTTTGGAAAAAAAGCAAGATGTAATATATGTCTGCGGTCAAGTCAACTGGTAAGAACAACAACAGTGCAATCCTGTACAAGTCTATTTAGAATCATGTTTCTTTAGTTCAATGGGATTTACTCCAAGGTATATTGGTATAAGGCTGCAAACTGCAACCTAAACGACATAAAAGCCGGTTCTTGCTCAATCCAGGAATGCATAAGTGGGTCAGAACCACCCTGTCAAATGCAGCCACAAAAGATCCAAGAGTGATAAATCAGTAAGTCACAGTATCTAACACTGAGAAATGGACTGGCAAATACATTCAAAATTAAGAGTACCAAGCATTAAGGAACATGTTATAGAGAACAGCCCTAGAATGGCAGGATGACCTGCCAATCTAAATGATCCATTAAGATTAATTGATATTTTAATAGTGACCACCTATTCATCTGCAATCGCTTACCAAGAGCAAACTATGAAGCATGAAATAACTATCTTTTTTGTCTCAAGAGGACCCCGATTTAATTTATTGTTTATAAACTGGAAATATGAAGCAAAGCAAGTTTACTCTCAAGGAATCTTTTGTCACCCTTCTAATTGGATTATATAAAACAAACACAAATAAAGCAATGCTCAATGAAAGCTCGTTTTTAATCATCAGCAGAAAGCATCTGACCCCTAGTGCTCACAAAAGTGAGAGCAAAAAAAGATATTCAGTCAGTAAAGCTAACATTATAGATCGGTTCGAACAGAGCAGCATTAGCATCTTCCATTGCTCATGCTGCTAAAGAGAACCACAGGAGAATGGAGCAGTATTTTTCCCTAGCTCCAAATGTCAGGGGGTTGTTCTTTTAAAAAATGATTTTTAGGGAATGCATTCTGCATTCAGTACTGCAAGATAACATTTAAACACAAATTAAAGACATGGGGAATGTGATTGTTTTACAGGTGATTTAACAATAAAATCCCATGAGTAATGCAGATGCTGTGAGTCATTGACAGCCCTCTGTAATAATCATTGATAATATCTACACTTCCAAAACAGATCCCCCCCACACACTTTAATATACAAGAGCAATATAGCCCCAGGTGGGGCTCGTGTGGATTAATCTGCCTTCATTTATTTTACTGCAATTGATCTTGAGATTTTGCCTTGCTGATATCCTGTCCCCATTTTAGTTTGGGGGCACATTAGAAACTCCGCCCCCCCCTCTCCTTTGAGCACAGGAGTGAAGGAATGTGCTCTGTGAAATGAAAGCACAGAGCTGTAAAGCTTGCATATCATTATTATTTACCTTTTAAATAACACTTTATGCATTTGATGAAGTGGGCTCCAACTCCATGGAAGCTTGTACCACAATAAGGCTGCAATCCTAATAAACACTTCCTTCTGGTTAGGGGCTTGCACTGCAAATCTATTAGTCTTTAAGATGCCACCACACACACACACACACACACACACACACACACACAAACCAGTGAACTTTTGTTTATGTCCTTTACTCTCAGAGGTGCCTATTTGTTTGTTCTCTGCTTACCGTCCCATCAACCTAACGCAAGAGTTGTTTTGTGTATGTTTCTATAATGAGTTTGTTCTTACAAACGAAGTGACAGCAAAGGGGAAAAGGGAGAGGCAAGAGGATCTGCTTTCAGACAGCCAGCGCCTCAGAGAACAACCCCTGGAGTCTTCTTTCCAGCCCACAAAATGCAAGGTTTTCGTCGACTTCGCCTCTCTTTGGCAGAGCTAAAAAAAAAAAGGAGGCTGCTGCGAACGGCAGCAGAAGAGGAAAGGTGACAGCTGGCTTTTTGTTTTGCTTTTAAGGCGAATGTGCATTCGGAAATGATGCCGGCAATGAAAAGAAAAAGGGACCAAGCAGAGAGCGGCGAGGAGATGGGGAAGAAATAAAAACAAAAACTTGAGCCTGGCGCCTCGCAAATCACATAGCAGCGCCCTGTCTCAACACTTAAGCAGGAAGAAGCAGCTCAGAGAGCACGAGAAATAAAAGGACAACGCCGAAACGTCTCGCAGCTTTCCCACCAGCTTGAAAGCAGCCTCGGCAGGCATCGGTACCACCATAAGACACCCCCCACCCCCCAAATAAACTTCGCTCCCAAAGTTGAAAGAAAGCAAATTGAGGCGGTTAGGAAACGTGACAACTCTCCCTCGTTCCCAACTCTCTCGGCAGACGAGGACCGAAGAAGAACCCCACCACCAACGCAGGCGGGGCGGGGCGGAGACCCCCACTAGCTTCCTTGCAAAAGTTGGTTGTAACCCCCCCCCCATTTTGTTCTAGACCCCCTGACAGAAACTCCCCCCTCTCCGTGCCCTAGTTCGGCAACCCACCTGCCGTCGTCGTCCTCGGCGCGCTCTGTTCCGGTTTTATTTTTCCCCCCTCCTCCTCCTGCGCCACCAGCACTTCCACAAGAAGCAGCCGCGAGCCTGGGTAAGTAATCCTGTGCGGCTCCTCCCGCAGCGCCCGCCGCCTCTTCTGGAGCTGCGACAACAGCGCCGCGCTCGCCGGCCCCGCGATGTTCGAGGAGGGAAAGAGAGGAGAGGGCGAGGGGCGGAGAGAAGAAGGGGAGGAGGAGGCGGCGCGCGGAGCCAGGCGCGCGGGAAGAGCAGGGGAGGGTCTCGCGCAGCGCCGGATTCCTCCACATACACGCGCACGCGAGGGCGCGCGCACACAGATAAGACGCTCCTCTTCACATCTCTCTCAGGCACACACAGGCGCGCGCGCCTCTCGCACGTTCTGCCACCTTTCCCCCCGTCTTTTTAGCAGCGCCCCCCCCCGCCCCGCTCGCCTTCCTCCTGGCACAAGGCGACGTCACCTTGCCGAAAATTAAAAATAACGGCGCGTTGGTGGTGAACGTGCCTCGTGTCCCTTCTTCTCCCAAGGGCAGAAGCTGTAGAGGCTGGGTTTTTTAGGTATTACTATATTTAAGTACAGTGTGTGTGTGTGTATGTATCATACGAAAGAGGGCGACCGCCCTCGCTCTTCGCTGTTTGGCAGAGCCCTGTGGAAAAGGCACTCTGCACATGCTCGCTGCTGCTCCTCTCCTCCTTCCCTCTGCTTCGCCTCGTTGATAAACGGGGAAGGCGCGGACGTGGGAGAAGCGCCTTAAGGGGCTCGCTATCCGCAACGACGCAGAAGCTGCAGTCCTGGGTGCGTTTAACCAGGGGACCCCAAACCCGGGACTTATTTCTGAGGCGATTTGCGTTGTTGGGACTAAGTTGATCCCAGTTTCCAGTGCTTCGTGGTTGCAGAAGCTTGCCTAACAGTAATATGACTTCTTTAGACCGATGGGCGCTCTCTCCCCCCCCCCCCAATATTTGGTATTATGACAACGCGATGAGGGAACTCTCCTGAGGATACACCCCACCCAAAAAATTATAATACTACCTAGGCTGCAATCCGTTCTTATGACCTCAATTCTGCTCGCTCAGAAGTAGGGCGTGTTTGGTTTCACGATGTGGGCAGGTTTGCAGCCTCAGTACATTCCAATGCGACCTACCTGCACTTAAGCATGGTTAGTAGGAGCAGACTCTCAGGAGTGTCAAAAATATCTGACATGTGAATTCCCTAATCCATATTACAGCACTATGTTTATCAGGCCATCCAAAATGTCACATTACCTGACAAGCCCCCCCCCCCCGATAAAACAGATGCCATTATTTCCTAGCGATACATGAAACTGACTCACATTTATATGGGTGGCCAACCTGGTTGACCACTTTTTTTGCTCACTCAGTTTCTGCCAGGGGTGTTTTAGCCAGAGGAAAGGGGTTCCTTTGCATCCCTCGCAATCTCTTCAGACTAATGTTGGGAGTAAAAACTTCGAAAGAGAGTCGACCATGCCCTGCTCCCTCCTCTCACTTTTCAATAACATCCCCTTAGCCAGTTATTTATTGTCATTCACAGACTGGGATGAGCTGCAGGGCATTTCTCTACCCTTGGCTTGAGTTTCAATTTGGAGACGCTGAGCTTTGCCATCTTTCCCTTTAGCACTGATTGCTCTCTGAGTGCTGGGGGTTGAGGGGGGTGGGATGGGAAAGAAAAAAGTCTCTGCTTTAAATAAATAATCTTCCATTTCAGCAGTCACACAACAGCTTGCCTGCGTTAAGAAGCCTTTGGCTTGGGCTAAAGCCAGGGAGTTGAAAGGAACTCTTGCATCCTTTTACAGCGCATAGCTATAGAAACCAATCTGCCTGGCTTGCTGCAGCCACCGGTGTGCAGTACATCAGCACCAGGTTCATTTTGCATCCCTAAACAGAGGATGTAAACTTGTAAGAGAAGCTGCACAGTCTCCAGGATGTTCACTACTCCAGTTAGTAAGCCCTGACTTCTCATTAATTGATTTGTCCTATCTGAAAATACAAAGCGTGAATGTCCATGTGCACATGTTAGTTAGTTAGTTAGATAGACAGACAGACAGACAGACAGACAGACAGAGAAATCAATCTCCTAGCCAGACTGATGAGGCAACTTGAGAACATGGGATGAATGAATCTAGTCTGAATTTGGCAAAGAGTAAAACAGTCATGTCAACCCAGCCCACTTTATTGTGGTTCTTCTGCATTATCATGTCACTGCTCCAACCACTATGTGGAGGGAGTTGCAAACTGAGAACACAGTGAAGGGCTCACAGAAACAACTTCACCACCTGTTCTGTTCCTGAAACTTCAATTTAGATCACCAAATTGGAGGTGTGAACGTTCCTTCCTTGGAGGTTTTGAAGCAGAGGTTGGATGGCCATCTGTCATGGATGCTTTAGCTGGGAATCCTGCATTTCAGGGGGTTAGACTAGATGACCCTTGGTGTTCTTTCCAACTCTACAATTCTATGATTTGCCTTCAGATTGAACCAACAGCAAAGATGCACCACTGTGTTTGATGATGTGCACCCCTTCCTCTGAGAAACCTGGCTAATTTTATGAAAATTGATTTTATTTCCTCCGAAACAAATGTTTTCCCCAAATTAGGGAGTAAGCCCCCACAAAGTATATGAGAAGTATTGTGTAGTAATAAAAAGTTTTGAAACTTGTTAAGGCTGCTTAGAAGCTTCCCCCCCCCCCCGCCCGACGCTTTATTGCATTTTTAAACTGGCTCTGAAGACTTTTGTATTCCGCTTTTATAGATTGAGTTTAATTTGACTATGGAACCGTTGGGCTGTTCTTCTATCTCGTCTTTTATGATTATGCTTGGCTGATTGTTGTTTGCCTTCAGATTGATATGCTGAGTCTTTTTATTGATTTGTAGTTTTTTGATAAGTTTGAAATGGTATTTGTGTATTGTTTATGGATGGCTCTTTAGCTTTTATTCTGTGTTAGATGCTTTGTGAGGATACTCTCTTAGACAAGAATACATCTAATTAAAAAATAATAATACATTTTCCCATGTTGGGAATGCAATGCAACCTTCTTGTCATCAGATAGTGGTGGAGGGTCCATATGTCTTCAAAGTGCAGACCAACCAGCCTCAAATTGAAGACACTTAAATTATGGAAGACTACAGCACACTCACTCATACAGCCCTTTTCATTTTAAGTTTTCTATCATTATCCTTTGGGCAACGAGGTACTCCATGACTTGACAAATGGGAAATGAATGTCTTGGTTTCCATTTCCATAACTACCTCTTATTGCAAAAGAAATAATGGCCCAGCAAGGAATCAAATAGAGAGCCAGCTTGCAAAGTGGTGCAGCCATCATCAAAGACAGGGAAGGAGCCAATTCTCCCTGAGATGTGGGGATTCATCTGCAGTGAGATCTTGGGAAGGAATGAGGCAGTGAGCCCCTTTAAAGAGGTCAATCGGCTCCAACTGTAGCCTTCTTTCTCCTTGTGACCTGATTCCCAGTCCTCCCTCAGTTTTAGAGTCTTCCACTGATATGTTGAGTGGATGCTTGTTTACAGAGCTAGAAATAATTTTTTCTATTAACCACCACTCGCCTTTGGTTGAAATGTTTTTGCACATCTTTCAGTGGCTAACAGGTAGTTGTTATGTGTCTTTTGCTTAGCTATTTGTCACAACTTGGGTGGAAATGCCATTGGGCAGAATCTACAAATAAGTGGGCCCCTCTTGAGGAGTCACACCAGACCATGGTGCAAGCTTGAGTAGGCAAGGCCTGGCTCTACTCATTTCACATTTACCAGCAGGGTTCCAGTTGCACGGGAGGCACCACACTGGGTCCTTGTATGCTGGTCAATTTCCATAGCATTGTCCAGCCAAGTGTGTTGAGTTGCTGCATCTGGTTTCAGATAATGGATCCTTACCGAATACCATGCCAACTCCACTTTTGTTGTTGTTTAGTCGTTTAGTCATGTCCGACTCTTCGTGACCCCATGGACCAGAGCACGCCAGGCACTCCTGTCTTCCACTGCCTCCCGCAGTTTGGTCAAACTCATACTGGTAGCTTCGAGAACACTATCCAACCATCTCGTCCTCTGTCGTCCCCTTCTCCTTGTGCCCTCCATCTTTCCCAACATCAGGGTCTTTTCCAGGGAGTCTTCTCTTCTCATGAGGTGGCCAAAGTATTGGAGTCTCAGCTTCAGGATCTGTCCTTCCAGTGAGCACTGAGGGCTGATTTCCTTCAGAATGGATAGGTTTGATCTTCTTGCAGTCCATGGGACTCTCAAGAGTCTCCTCCAGCACCATAATTCAAAATATTTTCAGACGCAATTGATGGACTATATGGAACTGGCTGAAATGACTGGCAGAATCCGAGACTTGGGAGAAGAAACAATGGAAGAGGACTGGAAGAAGTTCAAGGACTATTTACAAAAACAATATAAGTTGTATGAATGTTAAGTACTGGCACGATTCAGTAAATTTTAGCTCCAGCAAATAGATTTTGTAAAATAGAAAATTAAGTTATAAGTAAGAAAAGGTTGAAATTTAAGGTAATACCATGTTCAAATTTAAGATATGAGTAATTGATGAGAATTTACTTTAAATCAAGAAGTATAATATTTGGAAAGTACAAATAAGGTATGAAACAAAGTAATAATTTGCGGATATTTTTGTTATAAATAATGCAGGGTAAAGGAGATGTGAGGAAGTCCAGTTAGTTATAAAACTGTATGGTTGGTTTTTTTTTCTTAATCTTTTTTACTTTATTACTTTTCTAGCTCTTCTCTTCCTTTGGGTGTACTTGTTCTGGCCTTTTTGTGTGTTGTTTTTTTTTTGGTGAAGGGATTTTGTATGTATATTGTTTATTTTGTATTTGAAAATTTAATAAAATATTTTTAAAAAAAACAACAAAATATTTTCACTGACAATTCTCTCCTGATTGTTATTCACCCTCTATTGTCAGTGACTGGAAGGATGCTGAGGAGTGTACACTGGGGGAAGGGGGCTGGAGTCTGACTTGGAGTCGGGGGCAGTGATTTGTGGGGAGCTTTACCAGCCAGGAGGTAAGAGTCAAGAGGCAGGAGGAGTTTCAGAGTTTGGGAAGATATATAAGCTGGGGGAGGGGATATGGCCCCCTGTTGCTGCAACTGCTCCATTATCTGCCATGTGCAATCCTTTGGCTGGGGAGTGCCCTTGATGTTGGGGGGGGGACACTACTATGTGCCTGCCAGAAAACAGAAGCATGACGTTGTGTTTCCTGGGTTTATATTCCAGTTACAGTGTTGATCAAGACTCCAATGCTACCCCCTTCCTTGTGTTCAGTAATATACCA